TGTTTGTGATGACGTCCTACAGAAAGTGTACAGGTACCGCAGCCACGACCAGTGTAATCAAGAGAACACCATACAGGTTAATATGCACAGCAACCACAGAACAACCAAACAGGTGAGTAGGTCAGCCAACACAACCAACAACAATCAATTGTCAGCCTTCCTTTCTCTACAGTTGTACCATCTGCAAAACCAATGCAACCGGCATGTGACACTACAGCAAATCGTGAAGTTGTACCGTCTACCAGTACACAAGTGCAAGATAAATACCTCACCCACAGCAACGTGTTATGCATGCCACGTGTCACCCCTGGAATGCCAACACAACAGCTCTACAGAGTCTGCCACGTCAGTGTCAATGACCTGGAAGGTCTACGAGGGGGATGCCACATCAGCAATGCATGGTCCACACTGTTGTGCCACGTCAGATCAAAGTGTGCAGCGCTCCATCGGCAGGCAATCGCAACATAGGTACGTGCCACGTCAGACCATGCCCTGCCAGTGGAGAATGCCACATCAGCATCCCCACGACATGCCACGTAGGCAGCACGCCACATCAGTGGTCCCAATATCCACACTCTCTCTCTATTGACCAGCGCCATGTCAGCCTGTTGCCAACGAAGCTCTCTCCGGTATCCCAATGTGTTCAGTGTAACCATGTCATCACCTTCAAGGGAGGCAGACACACGTGCGGTACTCAATGTCTTGACATGCGGTATTACCGCGCGCGTTAATAAACGAGTTTTGTTCCTGCATGTGCGGCGCCTCCCACTTAGTTGGGTGCCACGTCAGCGCCTGACAACAGATCGCGATGAAGGAGGTATGCTCTGGTACCAAATTGTAATGAACCCAAAGTGGAAGATACTCATCAGACGTCGAAGTACAAGTAGACTCAAATCTGCACAATGTCTCCAGTAATCATGAAAGTGATATCTGATACAATATCTCCTTACCATTACACGAAGAGAGTGGAGGGGGAATACACAGATGAGAGGGTGGAAGAGATAATCAGTGACCACAAAAGAGTAGCCCAAATATCACCCACTCCTTCTCCGGGCTTCCCCTCGCCTCCACGTCATCAATCAATATACAGTAACAAGTATGACCAGTCCTGGTCACACAGAAGTGCCATGTGGCACTGTCATGTCATGGAGACAATGAAGACAAACAGCAGTGCACGATATCGACGTCAACCTCAGGTGCGAGTACCATTTTCCAATCATCCACAGATCCCGATCTCCCTCCTTGTCGCAACCAGTCACCTCATGTAGACAGCGTGGCCAGTGCCATGTCAACAGTAGAGACAGGTGGCATGCGGCACATCAGCAATGAAGACAGATGGCCTGCACCACATCAGCAATGTAGACAGATGGCATGCGCCACATCAGCAATGTAGACAGATGGCCTGCACCACATCAGCAATGTAGACAGGTGGCATGCGCCATATCAGCAGAGGCTGGCGCGCAGCAGAGAAGGCGCCAGCATGCTGCCACAGTCCCACGTCGTTGTCCACAGTACCAGTGCACGGCCAGTGTCAAGCCAGCGTCCAGCCAACGTCCAGCCAGCGTCGAGCCAGCGTCAGCTAGAGTCAAGCCAGCGTCGAGGCAGCATAGCAAGACTGAATATTGCCCTCCTGGAGACCAAGCCTTATGTAGTGTTTGACGAGGTTGTCTGGCCTCAGGTCTCCCTCCCACAGTCGTACATATTGACTCACAGCCGAGGGCCTGGATTGTGTACAATTGGAGACTTCCACTTGGTCCTTATGCTGTCTTGGTACCTGCATACAAACAAGTGTGTGCGTCTGACCGGCGGCCTGGACTGGGTACACTTTGACTTTGACTGTTGGGCGTCAGGCAGTTGACTTCGGTCGACTGTCGCCCGCTCAGGCCCTGAATTTACTTAGGGTCTTTTCTCCCCTGTGGCCTGGGTCTAAGTGGTGGCCCGGCGAGGCCCTTAGACATTCTACGAGGCATACCTCATGGGTTATCGCAAATGGCTAAACAAAAGGAGAAGTGCACAAACTCGCTCACCTCTACAGGAGCTCTGTGCAATCTGCCAGGAAGGTCCAGTGGAAGACGTACAGCATTGCCCACTTCACTGTCAAAAAGCCATGCAAATATGAGGCGACTCAGCTGATTTATGGCAAAGAATAACAGGAAAAGCGCTCCCAACTGACCCGGCACTCCTCTTGGGTCTACATACACCCAACAACTGGCAGGGCTACGAAACATCTTTCTTTCACACATCGAGATTAGCATCACTTTGGATGATATGGAAACGCAGATGTCAGGAAACAATGGACCACATGGAATCAGAGGTGGCATGGGAAGGTACACTGCAGTTAATAGAAGTAGAGTATAGAGGAAGATGGAAAGACATACAAGAAGATTGAGGATAAAGGGGCAAAGATCATAGCAGATTTTCAAAAAAAGCAATTGGGCGACAGGGAAATAGCCACGATAACAAGCAACAGAATCCAATGTGGTATGTGCAGAAATCTACAGCCGGAGACAGCAGAGATGCCCAGGAACACAACTCACATCACAAGTATTTCAATGGGTTCCCTTTGAGAGCCCCAACAGATCACAAGCTAGGTCTGAGTGATACCGAGAGTAAGAGGAGTTACATAAATAACTAAAGGACTACGACAGGAACTCAGTCAATCTTGAGAGACGTGGACTAGTTGAGTAGCCACAGACTGAGGGGAGTTCAAAGTATACAGACCACTCAGAGACCAGGGATTCCAACCCGCAAGGGTACAGCCACGGACAGGACTTAAACTGGACAGCGATAGAGACTGAAACCGAAGGATCAGAGAAAAGGGAGAGGAATGAGGATTACACAAAGGAGGAGGAGTAGGAAATATGATAGGATAACCAGCCGGGAAAGGTAGGAACAGAGGACAGCAAGGAGAGCCGGCAAGTTAGGAGTCCAAATGCTCCAGACAGGAGTAAGACAACCAAATAGCAAAGACAAAACTTAGCAATTCCAGCTATAAACGGGATATCGGAGAGTTCAAGATAATGGACTGAGAGGAAAGGCTCCGGGAAATAGTACCTCTCCAGGAAGATGACTACATCAGTGAAAAGACTCAAAACACAGCAAGATAGGACAGAACCAGGCCTGACAGTTAATCCTTCCATTGGGAAGCAATCAATGATGTCGGGTTCATCATCTTCATCAGCCATAGTGTAGGGAGCGGAAGAGTAGTGCCGAGGCTAACTTTATTGGCAGAGGTGAGGGGAGGTACATCCTTCCGACTGGAAGTAATCAATGCCACCCACTCATATCTCTCAACCATAATGCAGAGAAGCATCTGTGTGTGTTCTTATTGCATTTATATGACTTGCCGGCGGAATAGGAACCGGACTGATGCTCCCCAGAAGGGAAAACGAACCTGAGGGTAAGGCTCTAATTTTTGGTATAAAAAAAAAAGAGAGCAGACAAGACGAAAGTAGCTCATGCTGCCCAGCAGAAAACCATCTCATGCCCGCAAACTATACTATTGTCTTAAGACCACCCAAAATGAGGGTCAGGCGGCCTTAGGTCGGCCCATGTGGGAGGCCAGTGCATGCAACACTTAACCCTGGCTATGGTGGACCTTCCCCTTCGCTTCATCGGTTGGTGCTGCATAGACGAGGCCCCTGCTGTTGGACATGGACGTTATCCATGAGTGAAGCATGGCAGTAGAGGAAGGGAGAGGCATATTAGCAGTGGGTTCCGTGCTAGGCAGGAATGATCGGCCATATCCGGTTGCACCACTAGGAGGAGGAGAGAGAGAATGGAGAGGTAAGCAAGAGTTCATTCTGCACCGGTAGTGAGGGAGATCTATTGGACATTAATTCCTTCTTTGTTCATGTATTATTTGTTATTAAATTGTTACTAAGAGGAGGAGGAGGTTCAGTGAGGGATGATGAAGGAGGCAAGATGAGGAGGGAGATGGCATTGACTCAACCTTGTGTTTCTCTTCTTCTTTTTCTTTGGTGCCTGGAGGGAGCGATTGATTTATAATTGATTTGCAAATTTCGGACCATTGAATTTTGCGCCTGGAGGGCGTGATTAAGCAATGAGCTTCATCGCAGCATGCAGTGAACTCCCACGAAATAATACCCGGGGTGTTCGGCATGCAAACCCCCTTAAGCTACGGCTTGGCAAGGGCTCCTTGGTTGATGTGACTGGGTACACCGGGTCATGGCTGTATGTGATGTACTGACCATGCTGGGGTGGGCTGAAATTCGCATCTGCGAACTTCAGTTTCATCCCAGTTCCGTTTTCCTTGTGGTAAGGGTTCTGATTTTCAATCAGCAGGGTGCAGGTTTAATGCCTGGAGGGAGCAATTGATGTATAATTAATTTCAAAATTTGGAAATTTTGGCATTGAACCCTGGAGGCAATTATTAAGCAATGAGCTTCGAAGCAGCATGCAGTGAACTCCCAGTAAATAATACCTCGGGTGTTCGGCATACAAACCCCCTTGAGCTACGGCTTGGGGAGGGCGACTTGATTGATGTGGGTCATGGCTGTATGTGATGTACTGACCATGCTGGGATGGCCGAAATTCACATCTGCGAGCTTCAGTTTCAACCCAGCTATGTTTTCCTTGTGGTAGGGGTTCTGATTTCAATCAGCAGGTTGTAGGTTTGATGCTTGGAGGGAGCGATTGATTTATAATTGATTTGCACCATTGAATTTTGCGCCTGGAGGCAATGATTAAGTAACGAGTTCTTCTTTTCTTCATTCTTCTCCCTCTTTTTATCTCATTGCACTTCTTGAGTTGTGATGAATGGCATTGACTGAAACTAGAGTTTTGCTTCCTGAATCGTACAGGACCATAGCACTCTATGGATTGATTTTTTTCAGTGCAAGATGTAAATGAGAAGGTAGGGCAGCAATCATTGTTTCAACTGGAGGGGATTTTTCCTCATAACTGTCTCTGGACATTTATTCCGTCTTGCAATGGAGTAATTATGATGAGCAAATGAAAGTCCCAATAGAGCACATTACCTGGGTATCAACTTCGTTTTCTTGCTGTTTCTTCTGTAAATCACAACACACTTGTTCTTCCAGCTTCTTCTGGGGGTTATTCTCTAGCCAATGTGACCCCAGTGATTTATCTTGAAGTTGTCTCAGTTCAGCAGAAAATCCGCCACACAAGAAGGATCTACTTTGGACTTGACGGCAGCTTAGTAGTGTTCCCAGAAGCTTAGCCAAAGTGATCATCAACTGCTTCTGTGAACTATATTCTGTGACTTTTTCTTCCAACAACCTCTGATGCATTTCAAACTGCAATCCCGCAATTGTTCTGTCCTTGGTGAGAGATGATGTGCTGGGTGTGTCCTCTTGCTTCATGCTCTCTAATAATAACCAGGATGCAACTGCACACACATGGCGGCTACTCTTCCGAGCTTTGTTAACCACACCACCCTGAAATTTGCCTCTTTGGTTCCAGCAGTGCAATCTGCTGGCATTCAAATGCTGAAATTTATCAACTATCCTTTTTTGTGATGGTGGCCATTCTGGTAAACAAACAGTTGTTTGCCCATATGGCTGCTTGCGGTCTTCATCAGGGTGTCTATGTTCTGAATCTTCATCCACTGCTGGTGTATCAAGCAAAGGATTTATGGGTTCCTCATGCTGCTGGGACAAACCATGAAGCACTAGTGTGTTTAGCACGTGTGCAACTTTCTCTACTGCATTCATTCTTTCTTGATGTGCAAGTATTTCCGATGGCTTTGACAGCTGCTGTAGTTCATGAGCCGTGTGTTCATACTGCGAACTGAAGCGCCCCTCAAGCAACTCCTGCTTGTCGCATGGCGCTGTTGCAGTAGCAATCAATTGTCCATCATCGTCCGATGCATGCCCCTCTCTTTCTGAATGAACCTGGGTCTTTGTGGCCTGCAAAGTGCACCCTTGCCTCTCCTTGTGTTTCAGCTCAGCACATACTTCACAAAGAGTTGAAGCCTTCTCACTGCCCGCAGCTTGCAAGCTTTCCTGTCTTTCATGAACATCTGTCGTGCCTGTGTTACTGCACCATACACGTGTATCAGATGCTGATGTCATGCACACAGACTGTTTCTCAATTTCCACAAGTGTGCAGAAAGTGGACATAAGTCTCTCGACTGCATCTGTCTGCTGAACAAAGAACTGTTGGCGGTGAGGGCGCAAATGCATCACAATCTCCATCAGCTCGGCAATGTTAGCAAGCATGGAATAGGCATCAGCAGATGCCCATTGGTTGACCTCTTCTTCTTGACATCCTTGTTTCAAACATAGACTAGCGCCACTTAAAAATGAGGGTGAAGGCAAGTTCTTGCGAGCTCCCACTGACTCTTGAACAAGAAGTAGCTGCAGCAGAACACGCCATGTGGTGGGGCCAGAAAGAATCATTTCATCTAGGGCTTCTGCATCTGCCATCGCAGCTCTGACAAGTAGATTCATCAGCGCTCTCAGGAAACCTGAAGTGGCTCTGGTTTGACTTAAAAGTGAGGGGATTGAGGGCCAGAACTGAAGGTGTTCTAAAGCACGTCCGATTCCGAACTCATCTACAAGCAATGGTTCACGCAAAGCACCAGGGCACTGAACAGCAAGGCAGGTCTTACTCTTGTCGAATTTGTTTGCATCCACTATGCAAGTGCCATCTGCGGATGCTGAGGACAAGAGTGCGGCTGCTGTGATAAATCGCAAAGCTTCTTGCCGGGCTGCATAGCATTCCTTTGAATCGAGAGCTCGCTGGGCTATCTCCCCTGCTCCTTCTGGCCATCGGTCAGCCAACATGCGCCTTGTGAGTGATGCGCGTGGATCAGCTAGCAAAGCAAAAACAGCTATCGCACCTGCCCTAACTGCAGCCTCCCGATCATGCACCGCCAGCCGTGCCAGCCAATGGATCGCCTGAGCAGAAATCCATAAGGGCTGCCAGATAGCTGGATGGGATGCTGTGATTGTCGCACGTAGGCATGCAAGCCCTTCCCTGATAATCTGCTTTTTTATGAAGCTCAAACCACATCCATCCCTCTGAGCTGCCGCAACAAGCTGAACCAGTGGCTCAATCACACGGCAGGCTATCTCATCTCCCCTTGTCATATTGGGAAGATAGTTTGATGCCAGATCCACTCTGGTTGTACAGTCGCTGATAACAACCTTGTTCCCTTGCTGTTGCCTCTTAAATTCCACGGTATTCTTGCCAAGCCCTAACAGCTGTTGCCATGACTCCATTGGGGCTGTGCAACCAAGTCTTAAAGCAGCCACCTGAGAAGCAACGGTGGAAATCATGGCAATGCATCTCACAGCCATCCACTGGTACTCGTATGCAGCACAATGATCACTGATATATGTGCTTGTAAGAGCTGGTATGAACATGTTGTCCTGCAGTGATTAACAACACGGCTAAACAAGCTAAGAAGCCCTCAAAATGGTGCAGCTTACAATAGTCATGGATTAAATTCTCAGGTAACCCAATGGCAAACATATCGTGCTTGAGAATAGTGCAACGGACCTGATTCTCAATGCTCACCATGCAAACACAAGACTCATATGCCCTTCACACATGAAAATTAGAAAGCATAATGTGAAAAAGGAGGAGAAAAGAAGACGATGATGGAGAGAAGAGTAATAAATTACTAATAATTTCTTCTTCTGCAAGGAACATGAGTATGGACGAAGCACAGAAATCCAGAATGCAAAATCACACTGAAGTCCAAGTATTCAAAGCCAAAGCAGATAGCACATGGAACCTAGTAACCATCCAATTGAGAATGATACAGAAGAATCGTGAGTCAATCTCCATGCCCAACAGGGCAACACCAACAGCATAACCCAAATGTAGCTCTCTCTTGTGAATGGCCCCAGGCGCCCTATCTACTCTACAGCCTATCCTACAACTACAGCAATGAACAGCAACCAGACAACTTGACTACCAGCGAGTGATGATGTCAACACCAATGTCGACCTCCACCATCACCAGGTACGTGTCCTCTTCCCCACACTCTCCCTTGTTACCCACACAGCGCCCTTCACCTCCGAAGACCACCTTCGCCCTTCACCTCTCTGCACCCTCATGCAGCCTGGCTATGGCCGCCAGTGCCTCGCATGCAGGCAGCACCCTACCGCCTAGCGCTGGCCTGCTTCACCTTAGCGCAGCACTGCTTTGCACAGCGCAGCACACACGCATCCGCGCAGCGTGCCCGCAATGCCAGCATTGGCCAAGATCCCAGCTCCCTCGCCCTGCTTGCCTATATGCCAGTGCAGCGTGTGGGCGGCCTCCCCTCAGCCTGTGACCGGGACCCAGAGGCTGAAGCCAACTCGATACAGTTGGGCCCCGGGGTAATGCAGTTGCGCCTCTTTCATCAAGGCCTGTGGCCAGATTCAGATAGTGGGCCGATTTCCCTTTGGCATTATTGGCCTCTCTACCCAGCATGCATTGTCGGCCTCACGTTCGAGTGCCCAGGGCCTAACTAACTCAGAGGCCCTGGGCTTTCAGCATTTGCTGAAACCCAAGTCTCACACCAACCAACTGGCGTGCTGCAACTGTATGAAACCCACTTCGTGAAATGTTGGCACAGAGGGCTCTTGTTGATTTGCTGGCCCGCCTTCACTTAGGGCAGGCACGAGGCTTGCTGGGGCCTTAGCCCAGAACATGTACATCATGGCAAGGCCCCTACTTGAGGGCTCAATCCTCACATTCCACCCCCCTTAGCGTCGAAAGTCCGCTGAGATGCTTACTTCGCAGGTGCCTTCCCTTTTAGCTTTCGTTCATAATCTGCCACCAACTAAGGAGCTGTTTCCATCAGTTCCTCCCGTGTAAACCACCGATCTTCTTTGGGATCCGTATGATGCCTGAATCTGATCCGGTACTCCCTCTTGGGTTTAGGAGGTCTTCCTCGACCCAGCGGCTTCGGAACAGGCATATCTCTGTGATCCACAATGTCGTCGATGTCGACTTGTCCATCCATGGTTGGGGGCAGCATCGATCTCCTGGAAGGGAATTGATCAGTCTCAGCGAAAGGTGCAAGCTTTGAGGCATGAAAGACTGGGTGAGTACGTAGGTGTCCAAGGACACGAAAGACGTACGTAGGACCATCCATTTCATTTCCCACTACATCCAAGACTTCCCAGGGACCAAAGTACTGAGGCATTAGTTTGCGAGATATTCCGAATTCCTGTCCTAACTCACTAGCCTTGACCCAGACGCGTTCCCCTACCTGAAATGTGGACTGTCTGCGATGTTGATTCTCAGAAGCGATCATGGCTTGCTGAGCCTTCTTCATATGTTCAACAGCATCTTGCAGCAATTTCCCATATTGCACACCGTATTCAAGTGTGCCTGGAGTTGCAGCAGGTCGGTTTTCAGGTAGGAGGAAGTCTAATGCTGATCTAGGCTTCCATCCTAAGTGCAGCTGGTAAGAACTAATGCCGGTATTGCTATGTATAGCATTGTTGTACAGGCTGGCGATGAGAGGTAACTGCTCATCTAGTCATCCTGGTTGGGCTTGATGTAATGCCTCAGCAAGTGCTGTACAACTCTATTCATTTGTTCGGCCTGTCCGTTGGCTTCGGGATGATTCCCTGAAGTCATTTGAAGTTGACTGCCCATCTGTTCCGCAGTCTTCTTCCACAGCTCACTTGTGAATCGGACGTCTCGGTCACTAATGATGGTCTTTGGTAAACCAAAGTCCCTTACCCAGTTGTCCTTGAACAACTTGATAACGTATCCTGGTTGTCTCTGGCATTGGTATTAGTCTAGCGTACTTGGTGAATCGGTCRATGATGACGAAAATGTGCCTCTTACCACTCTTGCTGGTCACAAGAGTGTCCATGAAATCCATAGAAACACTCAATCCTGGACCATCAGGAATAGGTAAAGGCTTCAATAACCCAAGCGGTGCTCGAGTTCGCGGCTTGTCCCTCTGGCAGACCTGACAGGTCTCAACATACTTCTTTGCGTCATCTAACATTTGGGGCCACCAAAATCGCTGTACTAAATTAGCACTCGTCTTCTTGTAGCCAAAGTGTCCAGTTGCGTCATGACATTCGCCTAAAAATAAACTACGCAACTGTTCACTAGATGGAACTACCAATCTCTTTACTCCCTCTCACGTGGGGTCAACGGGCTGAACTGCGAGCCCGCCATTTGACTAGAAGACTGTCTAGAACCTGTTGAACCGGAAGTGCCGGCAGAACTTGTGGAACTCGTTGGAATTCCCAACTGGCTCCCACTAGTCCCTGACAAGGACGCAGACGATGACGCAGCAGAGCTGGTACTGTTAGCCATCGCTGCTGCTCTGGCTGTTGTTGCCAGCTCTCTTGCTACTCTGTTTGCTTCCTRTAGTCCTGCTGCTAGAGCACCCGCTCTACGTTCGGCTATAAGCCGTCTTTCTTCTCCCGGTTGTAGGGCCTGGAACACGTGCGGTACCCTTAGTGCCTCTGCACGTGTTAGCCTCCTATTGTCAGCTCTATCATCAACAGGATCTGACCCACTCATTAGTTAGGCAGATAGTTTCTGCACTAGAATCCCCTAGTGGAATCCTACCACAGCATGTATCTGACCGACACCTAATTTTTTAACAATAGTTGTGTCCGGCGAGTACCCTACCATACCGAATCAAGCGGCATGTCTACAACATTCACACAGATTGTCTACATAGTCTAGATGCACCCTGATTGGTTCACTTATAGTAGCATTAGTTAGAACTGAATATGGTAGCATACATCAGTCCTACACTAATCTGTCTGTGAGGTTAACAGTCCGTCAACCAACTAATCAAAGGTACAAAAAGACAATGTAGCAGATGTATGATTGATGGGTATGGTTGTGTAAACAGTTGAGCACCAATTGGAACCTACCCTTCCCCTCAATCCAACATACCGAATAGCATCATTGAGCGAGCAGTGTCTTCGTGTGTAAATCGGCCCACCCTTGTGCCCAAGTTGTCACCGAGCAAGCCAGCCCAACCACTCTTATTTACCCTCGTACGGCGACGAGCCTTCCTATCCATGTGATCTGGCTGATCAGGAGGTATTTATAGAGCTCCCCCATCTCTTCAGGAATTCTTTAACGTCGCAGTCAGGATGACGATCACAACCAGATTCACAATGAACTCCCAACCAGAAATATTTATAGACGGTCTGTTAAGCGTCTGTCCTGGGCTGGCACACCCGGAGGAACTTCTATTAACGCAGCAAGTGCCAAACAGGACAGCAGTCATCGCATGCGTGTACTACTCCCTGTGGGTTGGCATGGTGACCGTGACCCAGTGCTTCGACCAGGGCCCTTCAGAGGCACCGCCCTTTCTCCTTCCAGATGCTTCCGGGAAGATTGTCATCTCTCAAGGTAGCGCGCTCACGACACCTCACCAAGGAGAGGACTCTCAAGTTGGACTCACTTCCTCATGGTAAGAAGAGATTGAGAAGGTAGATAAGGTAAGGGATCAACATACCTGATGATAGCTGCCCCCAACCACATATTTTCTCACCAATTGAGCTGATGTTGCATTTGATGACCGGTCATGACCTCGGTACCACCCACAACGCAATGCAGTGCCACCTTAGTCCAATGCCACATCAGCATGCTCTCATCATCAATCAAACATTCCGCTGTATCCCACGACATATACTGTCGTAATAGCCTTCCGGTGCACCCCTCTCTACCCAGGGCGTGGACCTATCAATGGCCTGACGTCACAAGTACCAACTGCGAAGAAGCATCATCAACGCACCAAGTCTGTATAACGCCAGCATGCCGAAGGTAAGTGGCGATCAAACCAGCTCCGATACCAAATTGCAAGGAACATGCGTATGGACGAAGCACAGAAATCCAGAATGCAAAATCACACTAAAGTCCAAGTATTGAAAGCCAAAGCAGATAGCACATGGAACCGAGTAACCATCCAATTGAGAATGATACAGAAGAATCGTGAGTCAATGTCCATGCCCAACAGGGCAACACCAACAGCATAACCCAAATGTAGTTCTCTCTTGTGAATGGCGCCAGGCGCCCTATCTACTCTACAGCCTATCCTACAACTACAACAATGAACAGCAACCAGACAACTTGACTACCAGCGAATGATGATGTCAACACCAATGCCGACCTCCACCATCAGCAGGTACGTGTCCTCTTCCCCACACTCTCCCTTGTTACCCACACAGCGCCCTTCACCTCTGAAGACCACCTTCGCCCTTCACCTCTCTGCACCCTCATGCGGCCCGGCTATGCCGCAAGTGCCTCGCATGCAAGCAGCGCCCTACCGCCTAGCGCTGGCCTGCTTTACCTTAGGGCAACACTGCTTTGCACAGCGCAGCACACATGCATCAGCGCAGCGTGCCCGCAATTGCCAGCATTGGCCAAGATCCCAGCTCCCTCGCCCTGCTTGCCTATATGCCAATGCAGCGCGTGGGCGGCCTCCCTTCAGCCTGTGACCGGGACCCAGAGGCTGAAGCCAACTCGATACAGTTGGGCCTCGGGGTAATGCAGTTGCGCCTCTTTCATCAAGGCCTGTGGCCAGATTCAGATAGTGGGCCGATTTCCCTTTGGCATTTTCGGCCTCTCTACCCAGCATGCATTGTCAGCCTCACGTTCGAGTGCCGAGGGCCTAACTAACTCAGAGGCCATGGGCTTTCAGCATTTGCTGAAACCCGAGTCTCAGTGCACACCGACCAACTGCATGCTGCAACTGTATGAACCCCACTTCGTGAAATGTTGGCACAGAGGGCTCTTGTTGAATTGCTGGCCCGCCTTCACTTAGGGCGGGCACGAGGCTTGCTGGGGCCTTAGCCCAGAACATGTACATCATGGCAAGGCCCCTACTTGAGAGCTCAATCCTCACACTTCTTCTTCTTGCAAGGAATATGAGTGAGAGGGATAGACAGAAAACCAAGTTGCAAAATCACGCAAAATTCCAGATAGTCACCAAGCAGAGAGCATAAATGCACCAAGATTCCATCCACGTAAGAGCGATACAATGAACTCGTGAGCCAATGTCCAAGCCCTCAGGCCACACCAATGCAGTATCCAATGTCGCTCTTACTGTATGGCGCCCAACACCCAACCTACTCTACTCAGCCTATCTATCCTATCTACATTCGTGCAACAGGATCACTTCGCTGTCGAAAACCAATGTACACCAGAGTTCGCAACTGTTATTTTAAGGAATACCTGTACCTGACCTAACCACACCCACTTTGAAAGCCAACCACCCATACCCACTGTATACCTGGCCTGCCGAACCTTTACTCATCTCCACCTGCTAAAAAAAAAAAAAAGTATACCCAGACCTACCCTACCTGAGCCTCTTCAACATGTAACTGGCCATACCTACCGATGAACATTTTTTGTCAAAACCAACCATGGCCACGTGAACCCAAACCGTTTGTTAACCGCCTATACCCTACCCTACCCAATTTTTCTTTATCTGTACCCACCGGTACCTACCCATAATTGTACGCACCCACCCGTGACCACCCGTGCTCGTCACCCACCCTCCCCTAACCGCCCACAACCGCCCCTAATTGTCCCTAACTGCCCCTAACTGTCCCTAACCGCCCCTAACTTTTTTTTTTTTAATTATTATTAATATTATTATTTTATTTTATTGTTTTCGAGATGTGGAAGCTGCTGCAGCTACTGCCGCAACAGCAACAGTTGTTACATCTGGTCACTCTGATGCTGTTATGGACGCATCTGGTGCTACAGCAGCCTATGCAACCTGTATAGCATTTGCAAATGCAACCACCCTCGGTCTATCGCACACACGTCACTCTCTCACTCACACACAAACATAGACACACACAACACACCCGCACTCGCACACATAAATATTATATACACACGGTTACACGCATATGAAAATAGTCTAAAATTTTGAAAAACAAAAATTCAAAAAATGACGAGATATAAAATTCACCCTTGTGAGAAAAAATGTTTGCTTCATGGGAAAGGGAGAAATTTGGAATATGAGAAAAGCGTCACGCTTGAGCAAAGATACAAAGCCTTCAAAGCTACAAGACTTACATCGGGTATACCACGGTTACCCGATAGGAGCCTCTACCCACCCGTACCCACCCTTTTTTTTTTTGGCCATCCGTACCTGCCCATACCCATCTTTTTTTTTTTTTTGGCTGCCCATACCCGTTTTTTTTCTTTTATACCTACCCCTACCTACCCCTACCCACCCATGATCTCCAAAAAGGGCAATTGTGCCCGCCCTAACAACCACCACCTTTTGGTTGTGCCTGCCCATACCCAACTCCCCCTTTGGAAGGGGTACCCATGCCAAACCGTAACCTGACGGTTACAGTTGGATACGGTCAGGTACGGGCAACGGTTACCCGTTTGCACTCTCTGATGTACACGACGTCAACACCGATGCCGACCTCCCACATACACCAGGACACCTACTGGAACCCCTTAGAACGCTCCACCCCGAGACAAACAGATTCACTTATAGGGAAAAAAATAGAACCCAGCACATTACTAACTCAGCCATAGACTACTTTCTAGTATATGAATCCCCTAGAGGCTCTATATTTAACTAGGGTATATGAACCCAGATCGTGAAGACAGTTGTCAACAACGCAAGTCCAGAAGAGTGTCAACCAGTTGATGATTACCAATAGTTAAAATCGTATCCAGACAGAATGAGGTGAGATAATCATACACAGACGAAGGAGAGAGGAGGGACATTAGACAAAGGAGAGGAGAAAATTACAAGGCCCACTCCTGCTTCGGGTTCCCTCCTCGATCACCACCTCAACAACCAATAGTCTGAACGAGTATCTGAAGTTACCTCAATGTGCCACGTGGCATGTCTAATCAGTCCTTCATCAATGCTGGAGCAATGTTGACATGAAGACAACCAGGTACGTATCCACGATCTCTCCACAGTCCCGATCTTCTCCTGAATAACGATAATCAGAACAGCAATACAGGTCCCGTAGCCTCGCCTTGTCAGCAAACAGAAGAACACGTGGCAGCAGCCACGTCAGCCAACGATACACGTGGCAGCAGCCAATTCAGCGATAGCGCATGGCAGCTGCCACGTCAGCATGCCAAGAAGACAGGTGCAAGCCAGCCACTATGCCGGACCAGGAGCGCGTCGCCAAAGTCACAATGCCGATATAAGCCAGCGTCGCAGCATCGAGCCAGCATCGCAGTCAACGCGTGAAGTCAACGTCAACGCAAGACAGAATGAATGAATGTCAAAGCTAGGAAGTCAGTGCTTGTGTAGCCTTGACATGGGGTCTGGACCCCGGATGCCACATCCCTCAGCCATCCAGATCTCAATGCAAACGAGGGCCCAGATTTGTTTGAAACCGAATTCTCCCTGACCTGGATGTTGTTTGGGTACCTGTGCACAAACAAGTGAGTGTATCCAACCAAGGGCCTGGGCGTGGTACCTTTGACTGTACAGTTGACTTTGACCCTTGAATTTCCATTGTGCAGCGTTTGGTCCCACAGCCAACGCAGTAGCCTCAAGTCTGGGCGTGTTTCGGTCACACAGCCCAGTGCAGACCGACTCAGGTCTGCGTTGCCTGGGGCTGAGTTCTAGGCCCCAGACTACTTCTGAACAGGGTTACTGCATTCCTGCCGGCCCATTTTCGAGTTCCACCGCAGAAATTTTAAGACTTCAACCCTCTTTCATAAGCAACAACAATATCAGGAGCAGTTTCAAGTAGTTCTCTTTTACAAAACCATCTGTCTTCAGATGGTGCCTGAGACTTGAAAAGTACCTTGAACTTCTTCTGAGGTCGTCCACGTGATCCCGTAGAGAAATATCCATGCTCTATGATTTTGTCTACTTCATATCTGTCGTCCATAGATGGTGGAATCATAGAGGGTCTGCTAGGAAATTTTTTCCCTTCTACACAGGGCATCAGTTTGGACGCGTGAAAGATAGGATATGTTTTGAGATGAGGGGGAATATCAATGCGCTAAGACGGTCCCTCTGCATCTCCAATTACTTTGAGAACTTCCCAAGGTCCAAAATAGACAGGCAGAAGTTTCTGAGACACATTTTCTTCTAAGGAAAACTCTTTGGACTTTACCCAGACGAGATCACCTTCCTTAAAGGTAGATGGTCGACAATGTTTATTCGCTTGTTCGATCATCTGGTCCTGAGCTTTCTTTAAGTTATTTTTTACCTTCTTTATGTCTTCTTGAAACAAGACTGCATACTCTCGTATCCCTGGAGGTAACCTAAGGAACTGGTCCCGCATTAGCACATCAATGGGACGGCTAGGTTTCCATCCCTTGTGCAGTGCATTTGGTGTACCACCTGTAGTCGTGTGAACACAGTTGTTATATGCACTAACTATTTTGGGTAAGTTCTCATCCCAATCAATCTGATCGGGTCTCACATACATGCGCAAGAGTTGTTGGCACAATCGGTTCATCTGCTCACTTTGTCCGTTCGTTTCAGGATGTCGTCCTAACGACATGGTCAAATGTGTACTGTATGCTTCCATCAGTTTTTGCCATGGCATACTTGTGAACCTTGCATCATGATCAGACA